GAGCATTAGAACATGAAGAGTTTTCTCTCGTTGATAGACTTAGTGATGAATCTGACAATCCAGTCCCGTCATCCGCTTGGTCGGCCGTTTGACTCCATGGAACCCAGCCTCTGACGGCTCTTGCCCAACGGTAATCATCAAAACCCTCACATGTTCGGCCCGCCTAACTTCACCGTTTTGCAGATGCTGTCCCAGATCTTTGAGCGTTGGCATGAGGCAAAATCGTTCTTCCTTCTGAATTATAAAGCGACTGTCTCTCAGCATCACGACTGCAATGGTGCGTTTCATGACGCTAACCGCATACTCTCATCCTGCTTGCTGGTGTCTCTAAAGCGTTGTCCAGGAAGAATGGTAAAGTCAAAATGATGAGCGCCAACTGATGGTCTTCTTCTTCTTCACTACATCCTCAGTCGTCTTGCTTCACCGCTGCTTCCTTCCTCTTGCGGCTAACTATCAGCGCAATGTTGTCGGCGAAACGAAAATGGTTGAGTTGGCGGCCATCAACTTTCTCACATATTGTCTATTCTAATACCTGGGCTATGCTCTCGAGAGCAGCGCTGGAGCAATGGTATTGCTCCTTGCGCAATATACGAAGTCTTGGTCCCAAAGTTTTAATGATAGCAGATCTCAATTGAATCGAAGGCCTTCAAGCGGATGATATCCTTTATGTTCACGGTCTTGTTTCTTGACCCATGTATGGGTCAACGGCGTTGTATCCTTCTCGAATTCCTGATTGTTCGCGTCGCCGTCCTTTATTTAGCATTCTTTCAATATTATTCAATTCTGAAGATATTATAGACTACAGATACAGTGGACTGGGCGACAATGCCAAAGCCACAAGATTCCACTTTCATTGCAGCAGCATGGTCTTACTGGTACCACATTAGGCTAAAACTTTCATTCGTATTGTGGCTGTCAAGGAATCAGGGTATTCAGTAAAATTTGTAGTGACTTTCATAATGATGGTTCCGCCGGGAGTCAAAAGTTCGCCGAGAGACAAAAGCGGTCATTTTTGTCTTAAAACGCGAATTCTCGGCAGGCGTCGCGAATGCTCATCTGAGCTTTTGCGGTGTCAACCAGTGCTGCTGTCCTCTCTCTCAAAAGTCCCTCTACTGCTTTTCTGCGAAGCACAGAGTGCTCGAACGTCAGTTGGTAACTGCCTACGTCTCTTGCGTATGCACGTCTGTATATAACCTCATGAGCCTTCGGTAGAAAATGTTGACACCTCTACAGCTCTCGGCTTCCTGACACCATGAGGATATCGTATGATCCGTACATATACTTCACCGATATCGATAACGATGTTTTTCTAAAAAGAAGATGTTATTGAAGGAAGCTTCCAGTCCTGGTTTTGGAATGGTATTTCCTAAACAATTTGCTCCTTTTTTTCTCTTCTGAAAATTGAATCGCACGCTGACAGTGATCGCATCCCGTGTAGATTTTTGGAACATCAGTGACATCAGTTAGGCAAAATCGATGGTCAATCTATTTCTCAACGTTATCCACCTGATGACTCCCAAGTCCAATTTCAAAAAGACCTTTGGAACTGCAAGTTTCCACATTCCTAATCGTCATGATAATCTATGACAGTCTCTCCTTTGGTTTTCGATTGCACTCTATGTATCTCAACATGAAGTTTTCAGACGACCTCCTTGGGGCAGTCTTGGCGTTCATGGCTAACGAAGACTTCGTAGTGCGACCTTTATTATAGAATTTCTCCAAGCTCATGAAGATTGCCTCGAGCCTCCGCTCATGCCTTGTTGTTGGGATTTATGTAAGATGATCAGGAAGTGTAACTACGTTTTGTAACCATATATTGCTCAATTCGGATTGTTTTGTTTAAAGAAATCGATCTATGTTCATACTCGAGTTGATGAGAACATCTGTGGAGCCGACTCTACTACTGCTGCTAGGAACAGTCCTCCAGCGTTGAAATTGACTAAGTGGGCGGCGTATTCTCTCTCGGTCAGTCCATTGAAATTAACTTGATCTTCTGACTTGTATCATTAGGCCTTCTAGGGATGCGTCCGATGCGAGCGTTTGAGCATTGCAGGTACGGATTGTCATCGTAACCATTCTCTTTAGCAGCCTAGATTGCCCTTGCAGCTTTGCGCTTCCTCATGTTGCCGTATACTAACCTTTGTTCCCCTAGATACTCTATATTATAGTTTAGCGTATAGATCAACACTTGCAGAGTAGGGCTTTACCCTCTCTTTGGGGCAAATTGGACCTTCGGTGCTTGCCGACCCCCGAAGAATAATTTGCGGTTAGCAGGAGTGAAACGATGATCAAGGTTCAAGATGATTTCATTAGATGAGACCTAAACTGTTTGTATTACAGTATTAGGAAACTACCAGTGCAATAGCACTGATTTCATAGTGCGACTTCAACTCA